CAGAGGGACTGGAAAGGGCAGGGCATCAAAACAAAACCCACTGGCTGAAATCTAACCCCTCTTATTTGTGCCTTGGGTCTGTGCTTCTGCTCAGGTGTTTGCGTTCTTCCAGGGAAACAATAAGCTCATTAGAGCGCAAGTGAAGAAGTTACTTAATAGGTTCGTAAGTCACCCGGTTCTTACAAGACAGCAGCCATGCAGGCTGCAGATGAATGGGAATCACTGATGAAGCTTTAAATTGATACAGCCACTGAAGCGTGAGCTATCAATACTGACCTTGTTTGCGGCTTCTCGAGCAGGCAAGGCAGCATTCTCAGGAACCTTTTGAGTAACAATCCTCATGTTTAAGCTGTTTTCAAAGAACTGCATTTAATTTAACCAAATAGCTCCATTAAATTGTTTCTGGATTTCCTAGGATTAAACTCTTATTAGAAGAGTAGTCTTAAACTTTTAGTTATATAGCTTTTTAAAACTCCAGTTTGTGTAGAAATCTTCCAAATGCATCTTTCTGGTATCTAAAACTATCTGAGGATCAAGGAGATGGCAACTAAGTAAACCCAAAGCACTCCATAATAACAGCCAATATTAATTCATCGCCTGCTGGTTACCAGGTCTTCTGATATGCACTTTAACAGATATCATTTTGATAAATCCTCACCATGACCTTGGAAGGGGCAGAGAAGAAAATGAAGGCTGTAGGCAATAAAATGAATTACCCAACATCTCGTACTTAATTAAGAAATAAGATTCCAATCCAAGGCCTGAGTTCTTAGCTATTACCCAGTTTTGGCTCTAATGTGGTTACACAGATATATAAACCCACAAATTCTTCTTAATTAAGAATATATTAGAAGGAATACAAGTTGACCATAAGTCTTGTTTCTCTGTATTCCCCAGCTTTATCTAAACCCAAATCCAATATCTAACCTTAGCTCCCTCTCCTCTGGCCCTGCCTCACCCCCTGTGTGTCTGTTTCAAGTGGTTACTTTACTCTCTTTCCCAAAGTCAGATTCAGAAAACTTCTGTCACTTGCCACCAGCATTGTCCAGAAGCCCTGGTTACAGTGAGCAGAATTTTGGATTCACCTGGAGAAGCAGAAATCATGGTGTAAGAAATGGGTGAGGCCTCTGTTGTCTATTGAACATTTTTCCTTTATTTTTCAATTAAATACAAAAGTTCAAAGTCAGTAAGTGCCCTTCCTGATCTCACATCCCTGGCTAGTGGGTTAGAGGGATATTAACATGCTCATACAAAGCTTTCCAAACATTCTTCTCTCTCTTTCCCACCCCAGTGTGTATAGGTCAACACTGAGAGTCTTCCTCTATCACTCTTCACCATCCCCTTTCTAAAGACAGGGTCTCTCACTAAACTAGACTGACTGACCACAAGCCCCTGGGATCTACCTGTCTCTACATCCCCACACCTCACCCCCAGCACTCACATGGGTACTAGGGACCCAAACTCAGGTCTTCCTGTGTCACAAGCACTTTACCCACTGAGCCTCTCCACAGCTCTTCTGATCTTTGATTTCTACATTTAATAAGTAGAAGTATCATCTATCTGCTTATTTTAAGCCTCAAAAGTCCCAGTTTAATTGTACTGCCAGATAGTAGCATTAAGAGATTAAGTAATTACCATATATATATAGTCTTTTTGAGACAGGGTCTCCCTGTAGCCCCAGCTGTTCTGGAACTCACTATGTAGACCAGGCTGGCCTTGAACTCACAGAGATCTGCCTGCCTCCGCTTACTGAGTGCTGGGATTACAGGCGTGCACCACCACTCCTGGCCCAGTAATTACCATATTTAAAGAGCTTTCATACAATGAGAAAAGAATTCTGAGAAATTTCTCAACTCAACCATTTCCTGGCCCATTACTCATTTGCTAACTCACCAAATATTTGCTGATACCATGACATTACCATGTACCAAGTACTCTACATAACAGAAACTGGAAGTAGGGTGAAAAAAATTCTGTCTAGGATGGGCAAAAATGTATGTAAATGTTAGTATTCAATATAAGAGCTTCAAAACGGGGGGGTCTGCAATATTCTATGGAGTTAGAAAGAAGCAAAGAGACTCAACGGCAGAAAAGAAACAATCTTTCTTTGCTGGGCTGAAGATTGTTGGTGCTTGGTTGAAGTTGAGAACATGTGGCCCACTGATCTGCAGAGTATCTCTTTCCTTGTCACCAAAGACTGGTGACTTAAAAAATAACAATGGCTGACCCTCACATAGTACCAACAATGTGCCAGGAATGCTCCAGAATGCTTTCTGGTAAAAAAAAACTCACACAGTCCTCAAAACCATTTTACAGATGAGGAAACCTGGACACAAAGAGAAACTAGCTTTCCTAACTAACAAGTGCTTGAACTGTGATAACAACCTGCTTTCTATGTCTGTGAACTCAAACCACTATATACTGCCAGGATACTGTAGAACACAATAGAAACCCATACTCAGGTGACATATGTTCTACCATCTGAACCAATCTGAAGAATATTTATGTACCTTGAGTTGGATTGTTGAACCATTTAACTCAGCAGTAAGCCAGGAAGAATTGTTCGTGATTCTAGACCAGAGGTCCAACAATATTTTCTGAAAAGATCTGGATAGTAAATATTTTAGGTGTGGTGGGCCATGCCAACTCTGTCAGAAAGACTCATCTTGATTATTGTAAGAGGAAAGCACCTACAATCAATAAGTAAACAAATACATATGACTATATTCTAAGAAACCTCTTTTTACAAAGACTAAAATTTGAATTTCATGTAATTTTTGTGTTACAGAGGACTTCTCTTTGTTTGAAATCTTCATTTAGAAATATAAAAATAATTTCAGTAATAATATCTTTCACACAATCTCATCAGCTTATGGGCAGTTTGCCAGCCTTCAGTTTAGAGTCCAGAGCACAACATGTCCTTTTAAGGAGACTACAGGAAGTAGGCCCTGGGCTGTGCAACCATTAGGTCCTAAATAAATGCCTACTAATACTGCATGATGACTTGTGGGTATGTGGTAGAGGGAACACCTGACCTGAAAAGAGTATGTAACTAGGGATTAGTAGACCAACCCCAGGCCCCAGATCACTAATTACTAACAGTAACCTTGAGACGGCAATTAATCTCCAACTGGGTTTTGCTTTCTTGTACATTCATCATTGTCCATGACAGGCACAGTATTTCTATAGTAGTTACATTTTCTTATATTGTATTTATAAGCCTAGCACTTTGTATAGCTTAATCCTTAGCATAGTCCTATGAGCTAGGTACCCTATACCCATTCTACAGATGAGGTTCAGAGAAGCCAAGTAGCATGCCTATCATTATAGAGCTGGTAAATGGCAGAACCAGAACTTGAGCCCATTCTGGCTTTACATCTGGCTCTTAATCCCTAAGCCTGGGGTGTCTAGCCTGTGGTCTGCAGTCCAAAACTTGCTTACAATATCATGAGATAATTATTGCAACTTTTTTTGTAACTCAAGTGTACAATTCTCAAACATGAACATTATAGATGATAACACCCTGTCACAATGTCCAAAGTTTGGACATGCCTGCTAGGTTAACATGCCTTCTTTTAAACTAATGAGAAAAGAATACATACACACAAGTCTCTTTACCCCCTTGAAACAGGGCTGAGGGACATTAGCAATAAAGCCCTGAGAAATAGAAGCTAAAAAGAAAAAATGTAAGCCATCCCATTATTAGCATTTGTGAAGCTGTTACTATTTATCAAGGCAAGTATTTCAGTCTATTTTATCTGGTTTAATCCTCTAGCCACAATTTTAAGAGGCAAATACTGATTACCCCTTTTACAGATGACGAAACTGAGGCTTAAAGTGATTAAATTGCTTGTACAGGGTTCCAGAAGGCTAAGCAGCAGAGGTGAGATTTGAGAACAAACCGTCTAATCTCAGAGTCCAACACTGCCTTTGGTACAATGGCACTCTGTCAGCCACAGAGTATCTACTGCCAGACATCTACATAGCAGAAGTCTAGGTTAAACATGGCTTTGACAGCTAGCTCAAGAACTTAAACTCCACTTAAAATTCTGCTTCCTTGGAAAAATGCATTTGAGTCTAAAACAGGTTCACAAGTAGATTTCAAAGACAAGCAGTTACTGAATTGGGTACATATGTGTCCTGGCACTGTGCTTTTTGATTTGTTTGGTAACATTCAGCTCTGTCTTTCCTACAGATGAGTGTTAGGAGCTAGTGCCTTTGGGGGCAGATTTATTCCTATCTCCCTGCAATGCCTCCTCACTGCTGTACCCTTGGAGGCAGCTGGTGATCTAGGGGGTAACTCCTGGTCACTGGAGGAAGAGGCTGTTGGGTAGCTCCAATGGCACTCCAAACATACTGGAGAAAGAATAGTCTATGACCACATTACAGGCACACATAGCATGCTTATGGTATAAGCTGAATTGAAAGGCTATTGATCAAGGTCAGTGTGAGAACAGAAGAGAAGCAAAAAGAAGCCAAGGAATAACTCCTGTGATCTCTGGAAAGGGCTCCTTGACAAGGGCCGCTGGGTGAACCGTGCAGTGGCTCGGTAGATTGCCTGTAGTAACAGCACTCCTTATTAAGCTTGTCTTGTTCATTTGCTTTGGAGGCATGTGCTATATTTATTAGCAATGCTTATGAAGGAATCTCCTTAATGTTAGATTAGCAGCACCTTTCCCCAGAGTATTTTCTGTGTCTAGAGCTATAAAGAGGGGTGAAAATGAGTTCAAGGCAAAGATCTGGGACTGGCTTGCTGTATGACCTTGCACGAGTCACTTCATCACTGTGAGTCTGTTTCCACTCCTGAAAAAAAAATAAATAAATAACAGTGCTAACACCTGCCCTCTTTCTAACTCCCAAAGATAAATCAGTGTCTGGAAAGGGCTTGGAGCTTCTGGATATAAAGGCAAGTCTTCCTTGCCATCATTAATTAACATTTATTATTAGGAAAAGTCGTACAGAGAACGCAAAGGTGATCCAAAATAGTGATGAACAAACCTGTCTTCTTGTATTAGCAGCTGTCACAGAGCAGCCAGTGGAAATGAATCGCTTCTCTCCCAACACTGCAGTTTTTCTTCCTACAAATGGATTCACGTGAAATTCAATTTAAAAAAAAATAAAAATAACTTCTGTGCCAAGTTTCATTCACTTGGAAATTTCTTAGCAGGTGATGCAGCTTTCTGAAAAGAGGTGCAGAACGGAAATCTCACCTTTTTCTTCCTAATTTAACAACTGCTGGGTGTACACAAATCTATAATAAGTAGGGGAACATCCATTGACCGCCATTATAGCCAGGGTTTAAATATGAAGACTCATTAATTTTTTTAAATGCATTATCTCTTTTCTCCTTCATGGGGCTATTTTGACTGAAATCATTTGACAGCAGCCTTTGGTCTTGTCTGAGAAGTCTTGCTGGCTCTCTGTGCACCTGTGTCTGTCCAGACAGTAAACCTGACTGCAGGACTCGTCACCAGCGAACTGTCATATCATTACTATGGTTGATGCAGTATAATCTGTTTCAAAATTAGCATCAGTCTGGCCAGGCTGGGCGCTCACTTGCCACAGAGGCTAATTCACTCCTTGAATATGCATTCATGGAGATGCGCCTCAGTTCGGAATCCAGGGGGAGTACATGTTAAGAGCAGATTTTCTGAATTAGCATGGCGAGAGGAAAGGGTCCTTCATTTAGACGGCTGCAGATGCTGCTCCCTCTTGTTCATTACAATTGCATTTCATCAGCTTTATGATGTCCACATGTCAATTGAGTGTGAGGATTTTGCACACAAAAGAGCCTCAGGGAAAACGACTCCACTAGCTAATCAGCTGATTATCATACCTCAAATGGGCTGCAGCACTTGCTGCTCCCAACCTGCATGGGCGGGCGAGAGCAGAATGGAAGATTAAGACTGCAAAGAAAGAGGATGCTTCAGCCAGTTTAGGGAAATTGAAGAGGAGTTTGTGAACAAAAAGAAAGGACTCTTAGAGCTCAAGTGAGAGTCTTTGAAATAGAGGAACCTTTGAAATCAAATGACTAATGTTTTTCTTCAAAAGGGGACTGGTGGGAACAGGGTGAAAGGTTAATTAGTATATTATCCTCCCATTTATGCCCAGCTGGGTAAAGCTCTGTCCCATCCCTGTCCTGGATTTCAAAATTCAGAATTCAAGAACCCATCCTAGGGTCAAGAAGAAGAGCTTAAAGTAATTGAATTAGTTTCCACCCAGTAGAGGACTCACAACTGCCCCTGGGCACCCCTTTACACATATCCTTGGATTGTTTTGGAATTGATTAATAACAAGGACATAATGATGATAAGAGAGAAAAATACACCTGCACGATTCCATAAAGTCTGATAGCTTGAAGAAGCATTATGAAAGTCATTAATTGATACCTTGTCATCAGAGGTGTATTCTTTACGTCCTTTGGGGAAAGGAAATTAATGGATGGTCTTTTTTCCCCCCTTTTTGTCTGAAATTTACCAAAGTTTTCTCCCAGCTCCCTAGGGTCTTCCTCAAGTCTATCTAAAATGCAGTTAAAGCCGAGGCTGTCTTTTGCTTCACAGCGCGCCTGCCTTATGCTTTCATCAGAGGAGTGTAACTCACACAGATGCACTATTTAACAATGCCATCCCCTGCTTTCATCAGAAGGGGGAAGGTTGCAGAGCCGAGCCCTGAAGAATAAGGGGGGCAGGTCCCCTGTGATCGGCGAAAGCTGAACATCGGTGCCAGTTTCCATCTGTCATGATAGCCTATCTCGGAACCTTCAATCTGTCAAAAGCTCGCTGCCTGGCTGAAGGCTCCAGGAGATTTGGTGCACTAAACACATTTGACAACAGCATTATCACTGCAAGGAGCCAGCAAAATGCCATCAATGTGTTAATTGTAACTGGCTATGTAAAGTGTCACTTCCCATATCATTTAACACCAGCTTCGCCTCTTTTGCAGCTCCTAATTCTCTACACTTTATAAACATATGGATTGCTCTTGTAACAACACCGTGATCTTCTTAGCTGAGGTTTAATTTTGCTTGGAAACACTGCACCCAAGCTTCTCTCAGAGAAACAGCGACATGGAGGGGCTTGGGAGGTGGGGGTGAGAGAAGAGAAAATAAAGGGAAGCCTGGGGGAGGGGAGGGAGGGAAGAGGCCAGCAGGAGTCAAAGCCCTTCTCTCTATCCAGGACTGTGATTTTTGTTTTTTTTTAGATGCATGGAGGGATGCTGTTATGTTTTCCAGGCTGCGCTTTTTTGCTAATGGGTAAATAGTTCCTTTTCTTTCGCAAAGGATGAAAAATGCAGATCCAGGATGTTTGCAGGCAGCATGTTTTCTTCTATCATAATAGGAACAGTTTTGTAATGGTAAACATGAGAGCCACACATAAATAAATGAGAAATCCCCTTGAAGAACTGAATGGGTTTTTAGCACCCAAGTACCTAATATTCAATTTCTAGTACAACCAGGGCCAGGTGTTAAATTTCTCTAGTTACTGTCACTAATGCAAATTAGATTCTTTTTCTGCTCATAAAAAATCAAATCCACATTAGAAATTAGCTATAAAATGTAATGACTTAAATGCTATAGTGTTTTACAAATCTCCCTGCATATCTATGGTAGATAATGCTGTAAAACCAAGAGAAGATCATAAAATACAATAGGAAGTTGAGTTATTTAAAGGTCTTTTGTGACTGCTTACTGAAAAATATGATGTATTCTTTTGCTCTTCTCTCTCCCTGTCCCCCACGTCATTGTGGGAAATGAGCACATTTATGGTTCTATTTTTTTTTACAAGCTTAGAAGTAATCAAAATCCATGTTTAAATGAT